TTTTCAAAGGAGGTCGACGCAGCGAACCTTCAAGTTACCGACCGGTGGCTCTTCTCTCCATACCCTCAAATATCATGGAGTCCCTGATATGCGATGGTATAAATGACTAGTTACTGTCCTTAAATTTCTTCTCACTCCAACAGCATGGTTTGAGGAAGGGCTACTCTTGTATAACCAACCTGCTGACTGCGGTGGACAGATGGACAAGCATCCTCCATCACAAATGGAAGGCTGATATCATCTACTTAGAATTCTCGAAAGCTTTTGATAAGGTTAACCATATATGACTTATCAATAAGCTCAAACGATTGGGTATCATATCACCTCTAATCGATGGGCTTGTAGTGGCATTGGACAATAGCCACACAATCCACAAAGCTGTGAACACGAGACTACTCAGAAAATAAATATTCAATATTTAACTCGGGGAAATACCTAACAATGAAGAAGGCGCGAACAATGAATGGAATGGACTGGAGTTGATCGAGTGGCATGGCTCGGCCATGCAGGCGTGGTCTCTATTCATATTAAACATATTGTTCCTTCTCTGACCTAACCTTGTTCTTCATCATGTATTGGTAATTGATACGATACAGTGAGTTGGTGTAGTCAATGGTGTGACTTCCACGTAAGATCTTATAGATTAGGCAGTTATATCATGACGAATCTACAAATTTTGGGATTAGGTCTATTATTAGAGCAGTACTAATATCATAGTAGACCATAATTCTACATTGGTGAGCCCAACTAAAGAAACGCAACCTATTATTATTAGTCCTTATTACCAGTTCAACTTTCTCGATCGATTTTATATTTATGTTAACCCTGTATTCCAATAGTCCTCCGATTAATACTCACATGCATTATCGTAATGTTATATTGATTAGTCCTCATGACAAACTAGCTCAATCGATAATAAAAACTGGTCGTCTATATTAACTAATTAGCTTTGATGGTTTGTTAACAAGCTGTAATAGCATTTACATGCTTCAGCGACATAGTCTTGTTTAAACATCAAGCTCTAGCAAATATGACCTGTAAATAGCGTAAATATACATTGACTAACAATGCGATCAAGGACTAAATAGTTATCTGGATCTAATTCTCAGTGTTCCTTCACTTAACACCTCATCCTGTTTTAAACGATGCACTATCCTGTAATATCTTTTCTTCTGACCACTGCCTGCCTAATTTCATATTCACGAGTTCCATTGCCAAACAACGAGGATGACTACTCCAAAAACATACGGTGAGTTCCAGCTATAAGTTTTCTGCAATCATAAGTTCATTTTAGATGGCTCATTCAATGGCACACTCAGTTATCTGGATTCATTCGGTTGTTCTGATCCGAGCGAGTGGCAAAAACGTCAACAGCATCAAGCACCATAGAATTATTTGCCATACTGCATGTTTTATTCTGGATACTTTTGGATCATTACTAATCACGAATGGCGTTATATATGTCGTCCACTGAATAATCTAATTTTCTAAAATAACCCAGGCGAGTTCAACTATTTTACTTAATGATTTTTTTACTTAACATGTATATGTTTTCCGGTTCCTTTTGCCATATATTTGTAAGTGTCCCTAGGCTAAATGCAGTAACTTCTTATGGAATGTTTATAACGCATCATATTCCTGCCTGAAGTTTCACAAGCAGTCTAAACTTTAAAACTATTTTCTGGTCATGTTCATTATTTTTAAGTCGTCATATACGTCAACAACCTGCATGTTAACCTGGCTCATACATACGTTACACTATATCTCCATGTCTTCTAAATTTAGAAATCATCTGGATCGCCTTTAACATTTATTAATAAACCCAACATAGTCGTTGTTGCTAATCGTATTTGGGTTTATTGCTTGGTTTATCACATTAGCAGCCTAAAATGCGAACATAGTTTAGATAATAAGATTAAAAATTTAGGTACTATCAACTGCACTAGTAAAATAACTAAATCCTCAGGTAGCTGTTGGCTAAACAAACGTTTAAAATCAAAACTCCGTAGCCTACTAGAATTAACACTAAACGAATATTTCTAAATTGAAATTTATAAATAAATTAGGCGTCTCGGATTCTTTAACGTTATAAATTTCTGATAACTTCGAATCACCTAAAGCAACAATACCTATTTTTCTACTGACTAATCCTTAATCAACACTATAACTAGTTAAATTTAATAGTTTCAGGATATCGTCATAAAGCATTGTCATAACTTGACAATCACGTAATATGACTGATAAAATTAATAAAACTATTAACGAAATCGGTCAACAAATTGACTTATAATTACCATTAAATGGTGTTGTTTTCTTGGTATCTTCATCCATCACAGATGATTACAGTATGTTTCTCTATCGGTTGCTTATTCAGTAAATATCTCAAGACCTTGTCAGTCTAATTGATGGTTTAGCGACACAATCATGCATGCAAATAATCAGTATAAGCAGTCGAGCAAATCTCCTGCAAACTGAAAACATCAATGTCGAATTTACCCCAACACTGACTAAGGTTCAAGCCATTATCATAGACATGAGTTGGGAGTGTACTCCCCCTGGTTACAACTTATGTTCTCCCTGATAATCACATGAGCATCACTCACTATTAATCATCTTGTAAAAAGTTACTTAGCTAAATACATCTTGCAGCACCACATCACTGCGTAATATGACCCATAGGCTTGACTGATTTTAATAACTTATAACCACTATATCTCAATTAAATCGTATTCCGCCTTATAATAAACTGCATACTTGCAACTAACTTGTATGCCCAAGCAGCCGGCAAGTATAAATACAAATAAATAGTCTGCCACAGATCAGAACATTGAGTCTAGAGCATGTCTCTTACGAATACACTCATGTTTAACGATTTGTTCCTAGCTATCTGTCCAAAATTCATTTAATCATCACTCACGTATTTAAATTTTGTTTTGATGAACATTCATGTGTATTAGTAGTATTACTAAATTCTATCACGGTCAAGTAAAAATGAGGTTGAGAAAATCTCCCCGTAACTAAATAAACCGTATCAAACTAACTGGAACACTAGTTGGAATTCTTCTCCACGGTATACTTTTGTTCCTTCAGTTAGCCTACTAATACAGATGCAATTGGAATTCAACTCATATGAACAGCTTACCGGCATAATCGTTATTTGATTTCATAGTTTAAACCAAAACTAATACCAATATTAACATTTCTACAATATTCATTACTTTAATATTTCTAAACACAAAGTAATTACTGCCTATAAGTCGAGTTATTAACACGCATCGTCTTATTATTATTATTATTGTAATCCCATTTTTTTATAGTTCAAATAATCTTCAACCAAATTTTCATTTTAAGCGTGTTAATCATGAAAGCAGATATTTTAAGATTATTACATGTATTTCCCGACCAGATGCTGCCGCCTTCTTTTTGATTTATCTTTCAGCTTACCAATACTCGGAGGATTCTTATTATCCTTGGTAACCTCCGGCGCGCGACGATCCCATCCAATTTGGTATCGAACCAACATCACGTTGATTCTGGTGGGAGAGTAGTGTAGTGGCATTGGACAATAGCCACACAATCCACAAAGCTGTGAACACGAGACTACTCAGAAAATAAATATTCAATATTTAACTCGGGGAAATACCTAACAATGAAGAAGGCGCGAACAATGAATGGAATGGACTGGAGTTGATCGAGTGGCATGGCTCGGCCATGCAGGCGTGGTCTCTATTCATATTAAACATATTGTTCCTTCTCTGACCTAACCTTGTTCTTCATCATGTATTGGTAATTGATACGATACAGTGAGTTGGTGTAGTCAATGGTGTGACTTCCACGTAAGATCTTATAGATTAGGCAGTTATATCATGACGAATCTACAAATTTTGGGATTAGGTCTATTATTAGAGCAGTACTAATATCATAGTAGATCATAATTCTACAGGCTTACTTCATATCTGAAAAATCGGCAATTTAAGGTCAGGGTTAACTTCACTTTATCTCAGGCCATGGGATGTCCTATTGGGGTCAGTACTAGGACCTCTTCTATTCTTGATCTACATAAATGATCTTCCTCAACAGGTAACGTCAGATTTATTGCTTTTTGCCGATGATGTGAAACTTTGGAGAGAGATACGCGATCAAGACGATATACAGACACTTCAGGAGGATTTGACTCGACTTCCAAGTTGGACAGACGATAACGGACTTACTTTTAACACTTCAAAGTGTAAAGTAGTCCATCTGCGACATGTCACAGACTACAGTTACAACTTAGGAAACTCCTCTCTAGTAGTATCCCAAGTCGAAAAAGATCTAGGAGTCCTGGTGTCCCATGATTTAAAGTCTTACGCTAACTGTGACAAAAATGCCTTCCAGGCAAACATTGCACTGGTAACGTTGAAGCGCATTTTTGGACAGTTTGACGGAAGAAATTTCCATACAATCTTCAATAGTTTCATCCGTCCCCATTTAGAGTACGGAAACATAGTACTCCCCCCTCACTCCGAAAGGACAAGGTCACTTGGAGCGTATCCAACGGCGAGCCACGAAATCAGTTCGAGGACTCAAATCTAAACCTTACGAAGAACGCCTCCATTCACTAGACCTTTACCCATTAGAGTATAGGCGTCTTAGAGGTGATTTGTTAATGGCTTATAGTATTCTTAACACTTCTGGACATCCTCTTAAACACTTACTCAAGCTTAGTTCGAATAATAACCTAAGGGGTAACACCCAGAAACTGGAAACACAACATAGCAAGACGGAATGTAGACATAACTTCTACTCCTTAAGAGTTGTCAAAAGCTGGAATTCGCTGCCGGCCGAGCTAGTACAAGTGACTTCTCAGGAGTCCTTCAAGAGGCAACTTGACCTATTCTTAAGGACCAAGGACTATGATTTACCAACTTCTTTTCCTCTTTTATTGTTAACATACCTAGGTTCCTGCCTGGAGGATTTGGTGATCCCCTGCTACTAGACACGGAAGCCTGTTAAGCGAAAGCTTCTTCTATTCCGTCCACAAACATTTGAACCATTTGAACCTTAGGCACTAATTTTAAAAAATACCCTTACGCATAAGTACGAACTCAGTAACTAACTTTGTCTTCGGCTTTGATTGTCGTTATGCATTTTTCTGTATCTTAGACTGTATCAAACTACTTATATTCACACGTTTTCGTATTGTATCTATTGATTTGTTAGTAAACGTTGTGTTTGTATTTACTTTGATCTAATAGACCATACCACATTTCTAAATCTCTGCTTACAAAAGTCAACACATTCCTGTCCATTCTTTTCATCCCGACCCATCTTTCAAGGCAATAAGAATTAATCAGCGGCAGATGGATACATGTAAGTCATAGATTTAACAACCTTCTCATTCGATCGTTGGTTATTATTAATTCAACTAAACTTGTCTTCATGACCTTTTGACAATCGATTGACACCATCTGACAGTCGTTAAAACGTCTGTCGTGTTTTTTAATCACAACCGACTAGAGTTCATAGTAAGTTATAACAAATAAAACGGCGAGACTATAATTTGTGGACGAATCAATCAGGTATAGGATAATAGATCTCGGATTTTAACGCGAAAGCCTCTCATCCATTTGTCTCAATAAATTTCTAGCATTATAGCTGATGTCAGTTCGTGATGAAAACCCCATATATAATTCCTAAGGCACATTACGAACTAGATAATAAAAGCACCAGTAACACTGGCTGCAGCCAGGTACTACAATATATACAGATGTTTGGAGAGAATACAGACTCTTACATAAGCTTGGTTATGTACATCGTGTCGTTATCCCTGAGTAGCATTTTGTACACTCAACAACCGTAGTACACACACAATTTTGAAGCTGTGTGGTCGAGGCTGAAAGAGTTTTTGAGACTTTATCATGGCTCCAGAGGCCGACTCTTCTGTAGTCATATGGATGATTTCCTCTACTGCATGCATTACGATTCTAGAACCTCTGAACCTCTTTCTAACCTTGACAAGTTTCTGAACCACGTATAATAAGTGTGTCCACTTTATTTCTTTGGTTTTGTATAACATATTTTTACTCTATGCTGATTGTTTGTTGATTGCCTAATATTTCTCAAGATCACTTAAGATTCGTTCAAAAGTAGTCCATAAATGAGATTCTCGCCCATATCACTTTGGATTGTAGTTTATTCGGGTTGGAATAACTGAAATTACAAAATAGGCTCCATTTTCAGTTTGGAAAAGAACGGAGGCTCTTTGGCCTGTGTTAGTCCTGGCAATGATGGTCTCTCAGTTGGTCCTTTTGTAGATCCGACAGATGGAGCTTCAATCACATGTTAGGGTACTCGATTTCACTCGTTGATGATTCGATGGGAAGGTCAGTAGTCAGTTGACAAGTAATTTGTTCTGGGCTTGTGAGCTTTTTTGGAGTGTCCTCGCGAATTTTGTTTTGGAAGATAATAAGAAGGGCATATCAGATGCAAATTGATCACTAAGTAACTGTAATCTGTAATCAAGTTACCGCTAGTTCTTTGATATGTCAACGGGAGTAGGTTTGGTTTAGCCAGTTGGGCATCATACGGAAGCTTCACTATTCCGGGAATCAGCTTAGTTACTGTCTTCCAAACCCTTTCCAAAGGCTCACTGTGGTTTGTAAAGCCAAGAATGACCTGAGTCCCCTTGAAGTACAACTTTCCTAAATGAGTAATCAATTCCTAAAACCCTTCCACTTAAAGGGTATCTACATCTTAGCTTGATTTTTTGAAGAGATGACTAGACAGCTATGGGAGGTTGCTAAAAATAGAATAATACAAACCCATAGCCTTCTGTCCTATACAACGATTCGTCACCAACTCGACAGTGGATCTTATTATCTTATAAACATCATTTAAGTGTTCTTGTCCAGCTTTCACTATAATGTCTTTGTGTTCAGGTTAATATCATTCACGCGATAAATTGCAAATCAAGGGTCACACTTAAATTATCAGTGATCACCAACATTATAATAGGCGAAAGTGCTTTCAAATGTGGTAGCTTTCGTGACTACTCTACTTTGGTTGTTTAGACTAAACATTGTTCACGAGTAAAACTAATGAAATTTTTCCACTTAAAGTTCAAAGTTAATCATTTTAGTTCTGTGAATTAACATTATCGGTAGTATCGAAATGTTTCATTGTGTCTGTTGTGTAATTATCGTAGTATTAAATTATATTTGTGTAAGGTGTGACTTTACTTGCTGCATTATGCAACGTAGTGGTTTAATTATTCCACTCTCAGCCAGCAGATTATAAATTTAAGTTTTGCACCATTGACTTGGTATTTCATCCTTAGTTGGGGTCCGCATGACTATCATAACCAATGATTGGAGACTCTAGGTGACATGGCTCAGAATCGATCATAATGGCGTCGGTGTATACACTTTCTGTCTTCCCTTAAACTAAGAGATTAAAATTGCTTCATATATTTCTTTCTACGAACTAATTATTTCTTCCTGTACTATATCCTTATTGCACTCTTTCTTTTATATATTACCACCTCAGAATTAACTACTTTTATGAATCCGGTGTCCATCTTGTTGTGTTAATGAGGTATGGCAACTTGGACCGATGCATAAATGTGCCTGGTCCTACGTTGTAGCTGACTGATTGATGACTCATATTATTTCCGGTGCTGTTTATATAGTATTACTGTATTCACCACTTGGTAACTTTTTTTGAAATTTTCTTTGAATTTAGTTAAAGATATTATTTATTGGAGTGAGCCAATCAAGTCGGGTATTGTTTCCGCTGTTGGGTTGACATTTTTGTTAAGTTTATCCTGCATGTCATTCATTTCCGTCGTTGCTTACGCTGGGCTTGCCTTATTTTGCTGTACAGCAGCTTGCAAACTGTATAATGCCGTTCTTGGTTCAAATAAACGGGAAGCGTCAGACAATTCAAACCATTCATTTCAGTATGTTTAAGGTCTTTTTAGCTATAGACTAATTCTAATATTTCAATGCATTTTTATTGTTATATATATATCACCTAGTCACACTGGAAACTTTCGTAAAAAGCGAAATGTAAATAAAGCTCAATGATCGTATTCTATTATTTATGTACAATGTTATTGTTGAAGTCATATGAATTTATCCATAAAGTCCCCAAAATGCCGAAGAAGACATCCCTATTGATTAGCATTGAGTAGCAACCTTCCGAAAACACGTAAAAAGTGCCATGGATTATGTGTCACAACTTGGCTAGATGGTCACCTATTATATTACTAAACTTAGTATATATCCACAAATTTTTAGAAGATCTGGGTCACTCGTAAATCTATAAACAAACTTATTGTTTGTGCGTAGATTAGCCTTGAGGTCTAGCTTCTATTTTTACTTCGCACCTTCCCTCTACTATTTAGAGCTCAAGTGTTAGACATTCCAGTAGCCGCAGTTAGAAAACTGAGTTATTCGAAACTGTTTAGGATTTCAAGTTGGTTAACATCAAACAGGATTTATATGTTTCCTTTCAAAGGTACTCATTAATACAACCATAGAAACTTTCATTGCATTTGCCAAGAAAATTTCTATTTCCCGAACCAAAACTTACGTTAAGTACTCTGATTATATACATTCACGATCATACAACATTCATATATTTTAGAGGATTTAATCCTCAAGCTCTCATTGCATCGGTTAAAATATTAATATAGTTCTGTTTCGATCATTCATGGTTTATGTTTACTTTGATTATTTCATCCATTATTTGCAACATTTATAAATAACACAACTCTACTCTAACAATTCCCTTCTTTGACATATCTCTTTTAAGTTCATGGCTTGAATATGATATTCTGTTATCTGAAGATAAAATTGCCCAACGTGTTGGAGCTGCATCTGAACAGTTATCTGAAAAACTAAATCAGTTACGTCGTATGTTATTGATGCAAGATTATTTTGAAACTATCAAGGTAAATTTGCGTTTTACTCTTTATCTTCAGGATGCCAATGCATCACAGAGGTTAACCTTTTTTCTAGTGGTTCGAATTGTGTTATATCCTCAAATCTTTTCCACTATTATTATTATTATTATTATTATTATTATTATTATTATTATTATTATTCATTTCAATATTAAAACTTTTGGTTTTATTTGCACCGTTAGTTCTTGTTAATTTTCTAAGGAACATTCATAGATTGAGCATAGACTGGGAGCATAGTTGGTCATACGGTCTCATTATTGATATTTTGAAACCTACATATTCCAACTACTATATTATTCTTGTCTATAGGAATTTCAGTAACTGTACAATGTTATTTATAAAGACACGTTTTACCCATCTCACTGTATGAAGTTTGATTCATTTGGATTGAAGGAATACTGTATCGATTCCCTAAACCATGACACAGCAGTTGTTGTTCGGTTCGTTTCTGTTACCGTTAAAGGAGCAGCTAGTGTATTTTTTACGTCGGATTTTACTCAAATACCATCATTTATAAATGTGACCTTCATAACGTTCAGTACTTTGATAATTTATGTATAAAAATAGCACTTCTTATTTGTTTTCGTCAAATAACACTTCACGCCTACGAGAAGTTTTATATCTGAGTCTTTATTGCTACGTGACTTCCTTAGTTATTGATTGAATAGAGAAGGTAGATATTCCTTGCGAAGCCCGTCTTTAAACAATGAGATTATTATCGTATCTTCTGTTTTAGTGATAAGAAGATTATGATTAGTAATATGCTCTAAAGTGTGTGAAATAATCAATGTAAGTGCTGAAAGATCTTGGTGGCAATTTTTTCTCAATGTTTTTGTTCAAGTATTTTATACCAGATTTCTACCATATTAGCATAACTTTTTCAATTCCAACAGTTTTTATATCGCTTTTATACGTATTTGATATTTTCTAGCTTGCGATTGGCTTATACATACTATCAATTATAGGTGGATGGTTTAATTTACTTACATTGATTATCATACGTGAGTTTTGTGTTGTAATGGCATATTATTTTTATATAAATTAGTCTATTTGATGGTTATAATTACTGAGCAAAAACATGGAACTATTAGAATTAAATAATTGTTAGGCGGCTGCATATGGGGCTCTTACTGCTTCATGACAATGAAATATCATGACCTAGCGGACTACTCTCTTTTCATGACAGACAACTAACTTCCTAGTATAACTGTCATAACGTATATCACGCAAATCGTGAAACGTTCATTGATCGTTATGGAATGTATTCGAGACCAAAAGGTCTACGACATCAGACAGGGTTGTGACATGTTCTAAAATAAAGTTAGCATTCTAAATCTTGAAAGGCATAGTGCACATAGTACTTCTGAGTGGTTAGGGTTTGATTATTTTTATTTCATAGAGGATCGAAACCTGACCTATATCCGTTGTTTTAAATTTATTGGATATTTAATAAACGTCGGACATAATTTCATTGCATCTAATTTGTATTTGTGTTTATTTTGCTTTGTCAGTCAGTCAGTCAGCTACAACGTAGGACCAGGCACATATGTGCATCGGTCCAGGTTGCCATACCTCATTAGCACAGATAGGTCTATGATGAAGTTAAACAGAAATGGAGAAAGTGGACAGCCTTGACGGACACCACTTGAGGTTGCAAAAGTAGATGACAGTTCGCCATAAGCCCTGACTCGACTAGTAGTGTTCGAGTAAAGAGCCTTCACAAGGTTTATGTACTTCTGAGGTACGCCTTTCAATGACAGACACTGCCACAGAATCTCGCGGTCTACCGAGTCAAATGCTGCTTTTAAGTCGAGAAATACCACCATCGTCGGACGCCGATAGGTATGCCTGTGTTCTAGAACCTGACAAATGGTGAATATGTGGTCGATGCAGCCACGACCAGGTCTAAAGCCAGCTTGGTTCTCTCGAGTTTGTAGTTCACGAGTCTTAGTTAGGCGTTTGATAATTATCGAGGCCAGTATTTTAGATACTATGTTTGTTAAACTAATCCCTCTATGGTTGTCACAGGATGATTTTGACCCTTTCTTATATATTGGGACGATAAGTGATTGCGACCAGTCAGATGGGATAAAGTCTAATTCCCAGATCTTAGCTAAAATATTAGTCAACTTGATCGCTAAAATTGGACCACCATACTTAAAGACCTCTGGAGCCAATCCATCTGGACCATCTGCCCTTCCTCGTTTCAGATTAACTATAGTCTTTTGAACTTCAGCAAGAGTCGGGGGACCTACTTCAATGTTCCATTCACACTGTCTGGGAATGGAGGGTAGTTGTAGAGTAGCTGAAGGCCAGCTGAACTGTTCCCTAAAGTGTTCCGCCCATCGTTCTAAACGCCTGGACTTGGAGCAGATGAGTGTATCGTCTTTTTCCGATATAATCTCACTTACACTTGACTTATTAATTCCAGTTTCTTTTATTAGTCTGTAAAGCTGTCTTGTGTTCCCTATAGTCGCCGCCTTTTCCATCTCTTTTGCTTTCGATGCCCACCACTGCTCACGGTCGTTTCTTAGACTTTTTCTTAACCTAGATCTGATTTGTTTTCGCTCTTCATCATGTTCAGAACCTGATGGGACGAGTTTGCGAGAATCCATCAGTGTGACAGACCTTGAAGAAATCCACTGGTTCCTTGCAACTCTGTGGTTTAAGTCACTAATAGATGTCACTGCTGTTTTCATAGCCGTTCAGCCGAACAGCACATAGACGACTGTTGACGGGGATCCACTCTAGCAGTGCTTGTTCGGCCCTCATGCTTAGTGCTATGCCTACACCTGCTAGTCCACGAGAACTTGCCATCGGGTCACCAGATACACGAAGCGTGTACCTCGTTGGCTCTCCGTTTTGCCGAGGTGTGGTCAAGTGAATGACCACACTGGAATCCTGTATGCGTGTTTCGGAGACACAGCATACATCAATGGAAAGAGACTCTAGGGTTTTAGCCAAGGAAGCCTGCTGACCGATTTGACATAGGGTGCGTACGTTGAAAGCTCCAATGTGTAGTTTGGAGCGAGGTTTCAGTAGACCTGGGACAGTGTTTTGAGCACTAGAATCGTTGGCTATGGTGACACTTGAGGTGGAAGCCGAGAGAGGAAATTTAAAGTTGAAAGTCGATGTAGGAGGAATAATAGGAATTGAAGAGGGAGGTTGATTATGAATACAGTGGTCTTGAGTGCTGTTAGAGGTATGAGGGCGGTTTTCACTTCCCGGTTGCCCACACCGTGGAAGGGTTGTTCTGGGAGTACCTGAAAAGGAATTTGGATTAAAGGTGGTCTTAGTGACCTGAGAGCGTGACCGCAGTGCCCAAGGGACAACTGCTTGAGGTCGGTCACACACGAGCTTGTTGTGGGTAATTTTTGTGTTAGCTCCGTACTTATTGAGACCTTACCGCCGGAGACGGATATCCGTGGGATAAGGCGAGGTGTGCATTTTTAGGGTCGACCTTTTCTAACCCCACCCCTCCTTGTGGGAAGGCAGCATCGCTGTCATGCTGGTTGTCTGAAGGAAACACCTTACTGCTGTCACACCTCTGTACAGTCAGCAGTACGACTTCGCCTTCGGACCTTGGGTTTGTTGCTTTTAGTCTTACCGCTCTTCAACCGACCTGTCTGGCATGGTAGGACCTTGAGGGACGGTTGCTCCAGCCAGTATAGCTCGGTTGCTTCATCACGATAGGCAAGCCCGACCACCACGTCAAGGTAGCAACAACGGTGAATAGTGGCGATTTGGTGGTTAACACATGGCTTTCAATTGTGAAGTTGCACATTTTATACCCTTTTTTACCAATTTCGGTTTCGATAACTGAATAGTATCGTTAGCCTTCACACTGGGAATGTCTCTCGAAATCAAGTATTAAAACTTGTATCAAGTAAATAAGCAACGTTAATTTTCTGTTCTGTAATATACTGTTGTACACAGCATAGTGTTTTGTCCTGTCTAATCGACGGAAAAAACGTCTAAACGTATATAACCAGTCTTCCATTTATTTTAATTGAAGACAGACCTTTACTGAAATAAGTTAGCAGATCTAGCCTTTTGAGTAGTTATCAAGTGTTCATACTGTATCATTCCTCACTATCAACCAAACAGGGTTGTTTTCATTACTTCCATCCTCGAGTCGTATTCTTGACTATCAAAAGTTTGGTCACACTATTGTGAACCTCATTAAAAAATGAGCTAAATTTTTTTAAATTAAGAGGTGTATAGTACTTTTCTGAATTTGCTATAGTGTATCAAGTTTTCAATTCACGAAGTTTAACTAATTAGAATAAAAGACTATTTTTAATACTTGAGATTGTTGATATTTTGCGTACCTACCCACTTTCATGACAAAAGTAAACAACATGGAACCAGCCAGAACTATTTGTACAGCAACAGGAAATTAATGAAATAAAAGCAAAGTATGGCGACTAATATTACTAACAGTAATAGAAGACCTTGAAGAGAGAAAAACTGCTATAATTAACTAGTTCGATCTCTAATATTTTTATTAAAAAGAAAACCAACTATATCTATGTCACCAACCCAAGCACTTCGTTTTGCGGTTCATAACCCTCCACGATGATATAGATGCTTTTTTCCCTTTATTTTTCTTTAAAGCGTGAACATTTTTTAACCCCTATAAATATTGGATGTCTGACAATTTACTGTCCGTTTTCACGTACATTAAGCAGTGATTTTTCTTACACCTTTTAGTATTCGTTTTGGGATTGACGTGCCCCAGAATTTACTTATTATACCAGGTTAGTGATATTTGTATTTACACCTAAAGTATAGTAATCAAAATATTATTTGTAATATTAGTTTTTATTTTCTTCTGGGATTCATTGTCTTAAGTCAGTATCCAAAGCTTCTATAGTACTGTCCCCAAAGCAAATGACGTGTGTAAAAATGGTGACAGCTATCACAATTTTTATGATCTATTGTGTTACAATTTTGCGCGTTATTTTAAATTAAAGCCTATATATATATATATGCACTGTTCTTAAACAGTCCTTTTGTTTTGTATGTCAATTTCTTTCTAAGTATGACCATTTGGTTAATTATTACTAAGTAATAAATGGATCTGATTGTATTCTTTATACTTTAAACATATCTTCCATTTTTTGAACGAAATATAAAATACTTAAAAGTGTTTATAAACTTTTGACTCATTTAATACCTTTATTGCTAGCTGTGTTTTTACACTTTACATGTATGAGTACGTTAAATGTTTAGGAATATAATCATGTTATCCATATTTCCAAACCTTTTCGAATGTACTTATTGTGCTTTAACGATAACAGATGTGTAAACGAATTCCTGACTTTAGGGACTACAATCCACCTTTTTTGTAGAGGATCAAAACTGGTAACCATGTACAAATTTCTTTGCATAAACCAGTAAATTTATCAAAATGTAATAAGATTTTCATTTGTAATCGACTAATCGGTGATCAAATACACTAATTTGTTTTTGCAAATCACAACCAGTCAAAACTTTATATGGTTTGGAATTTTCTCCTCGAGTATGTACAATCTAATAACAATAGATTACGAAATTTTTGAAATTAATAGTAGTATACTTAGAATATGATTTGATAACTGGAAAGGAGGCTTGACTACTAGCCTATCGAGTTATATTCTCGTCTAGAGTGCATAGACAAAGTTAGATAAAATATTTCACTAAATGGCTACGATCTTGTCTTGATTATTACAAACAGAATAAATAATCATTGATTAGTTCTACTAGTATTTTAAAGCACTGTCTTTTAAAGTGTTAATGTTATCACAATAAATGTCTTACTGCATACAGTTATAACCTTTGTTATCTTAATGTTCTCTGGGATCTGTTCTTTAGAATAACCTTATAGTTGTTAAATCTAGTCATTGAAAATATTCAAGATGAAAACAAAGATTACCCATCGCACTGTTAATGTGTTTAATTAGTTGTTTATATGAAATTAAATTTACGAGTAAGTAATGTTAAAATTAAGTATTCCTTTCACCAATTCCTAGTCACAATTATCCCCATCTTATAATTTTAATCAAAGTAACGCTGTGGTTGAGAAAACGTCTTTTTCTAATTCACGAATTCATTGCTTACCAGTCTAAACCCTATGTGAAACTGTAGATTTATAAACGTGGGCGTCAGTTCTAGTGGCTTATTCACATCATATCTTGATTTAAGTGTTTTTGTATTCAGCAGTTTAAAAATCCCCATAGAATATTCAAAAATGAAGAATATTTGAGCGAACAGTTGTTTTCAATAACTTCATCATCAGGCTCTACAGTTATAAGTCCATAATTATAATATTTTACAAAGGCCAAAAATGAGGCATGTATTAATGAATTTGACAATGTTATGTGTTAAAAATGGTAAACGTTTGCATCTGTTACGATATATATATATATATATATACTTCAAAATTGTATTATTTGCAAATTAGAAAGGTCATTCAATAATAAGATTGTTTTGTGAATATAATATGTAATAAGGAGGGTGTTATCAAGGTAATTACGATAAACGAATTGGGAATGATCAATGTGAAGATCAAGATAGAGATAATCAAAAATATTGATGATAAGGAAAAAAATTAAGTAAATAAAAATAAAGGAAGGGGGTAAGAGGTTCTCTCTTTTGTTGCGCTCCTTAGCTTTTTTTTCTTTCTTTGTATTCCTCTCGAATTTTCATTGTTTTGTGTGGCGCATATATATTGGCGCTCTCTTGTACCAATATTCATGTGTCCAAATAAATAAAATAAGAGGTTTATAATAATCAGTCTAGGTATTTGGTGATCAAGTCGTAGGCCAAGGTAAACAAGAGAAGCTGGATATATTATTATATATTATATTCACACAACAGTCTTATTATTATTATCTCAATCGACACAATTTTTTTGCATTTTCATACTATTATACTTATTGTGATTGAACACTACACCAAATCATCCTTACCCTTATTGAATGACCTTTCTAATTTGCAAATAATAATAATAATAATAATAATAATAATAATAATAGAAGATTTGACAGCTTAGAACAACACATCATCTGAAGTAAATGCAATAATTTATACTAACTTCGTAGTATTTCGAAATTTATCATCATATATATATATATATATATATATATATATATATATATATATATATATATATATATATAATTCTCAGTATAGGGTTGTGGAGATTGTTGAGTTTAAATTGATATCATGAATGAATGAATGTTAGATCGCCATTGAAAACCTGGAAGCATTGGACGGCCGTTTCGTCCTAGTATGGGACTCCTCAGCAGAGTGCATCCACAATCCCACATGTGGGACTCGAACCCAGGAACTTCGATCTCGCGCGCGGACGCTTAACCTTTAGACCACTAAACTGAAAATCCTGGGTTCCAGTTCCACGCTTGGGATCGTTGATGCGCTCTTCTGAGAATTCCCATATTGTGACGAAACGGCCGTCCAGTTCTTCCAGGTTTTCAGTGGTGGTCTAATATTCATGATATCAATATATAGTTCTGCCAAGTAGTCTTCATTCCCTTCGAATCGCTTACAAAGCTCGCATACGGAAATAGCAATTTTTAGCGTAAAACACCATTGTTCCTACCTTGACGTAGTGGTTGGGATTGCCTATCGTGATGAAACATCCGAGCTATGCTGGCTGGAGCAACCGTCCCTCAAGGTCCTACCATGCCAGACAGGTCGGTTGAAGAGCGGTAAGACTAAAAGCAACAAACCCAAGGTCCGAAGGCGAAGTCGTACTGCTGACTGTACAGAGGTGTGACAGCGGCAAGGTGTTTCCTTCAGACAACCAGCATGACAGCGATGCTGCCTTCCCATAAGGAGGAGTGGGGTTAGAAAAGGTCGACCCTAAAAATACACACGGATATCCGTCTCCGGCGGTAAGGTCTCAATAAGTACGGAGCTAACACAAAAATCACTCATAAAATGGTCGTGTGTGACCGACCTCAAGCAGTTGTCCCTTGGGCAACGCGGTCACACTTTCAGATCAGTAAAACCACCTGTTATCCGATTTCCTTTTCAGGTACCTCCAGAAGAACCCTTCCACGGTGTTGGCAACTGGGAAGTGATAACTGCCCTGATACCTCTAACAGCACTCAAGATCACTGTATTCATAATCAACTCTTTCTTCATCGACTGAGATGGTTGGGCCACGTGTTGCGTATGCCTGAACACCGATTACCACGACGCGCAATGCTGACTGGCGTTGGGAATGGTTGAAAGAAAGTTAGGGTCGGTTAAATCAAAACGTGCCATCAGTGCTTGAAGTCACTAACTTCTAATCTGAGCCATGTTGGTATATGCAGACTACTTGGTTGGGGTCCTCATGACTATCGTAACAGATGGTTGGGGACGCTGGGTAACATGGCCCAGAATCGATCTTTCCTTCTACGAACTATTTCTTTCTGTACTATATCCTTACATATAACCTTTCCTTTAAATACTACACCATTGAGTTAACTACTTCTATGAATCCGGTGTTTGTCTTGCTGTGCTAATGAGGTATGGCAACTTGAACCGATGCATGTATTTGCCTGGTCCTATGTTGTAACTGACTGACTGAGCGTAAAACACGCGTTAAGTCAATATTTGTTTTTGAAATTTCCTTTGCTCAAGGTAAAAAGTTTTTCTAAAATAAAATATCTCGTTAAATATTTGCTATACAAAGTTTCTATTCAATCGACCAGTGCTTGATCATAATTTTATAATTGTTGGTAACTGTATAAGACTAACATTTTTTTATTTCACTGATTGCATTGATCGTTTGCTATTTCGTACATAAAATTTTTTTCATATATACAATCACATTCTTTTTCGTTTAATAAAGTACGTGAATTTGTTTGTCTATTGGTTTGTTCATTTGATCTGAACTTTTAAAGACGCTTGATGACTCAAAAATGTAACTTTATAATCATACTATCAAAATTATTGATATGAATATTTAAGGTGCATGATAAACTAGTATTATAACTCTAAATTTCTGCCTATATATATATATATATATATATATATATATATATATATATATATATATGCTCAAACTACTTTGTTTTACAGTCTGACTCTGTAGCTAGCCAGTTTAAACTTCATTCAGTAAAGGTGTTTTCTAAAGTAGACATTAGTAGTTTACACTGGTCTAGTGACTACAAAAACTCATTTGAAAACTTTTCAATCAACAGATTAGATTGGTTTACAGAATTTTACAGAGAGTACAAATACCAACAAACTTTAATTCGAAACAAAATACGTTCCATCATTTATTGTTCACACATACATCTATTTTGTTTAATCAGACACATATATGCATCAATCCAAGTTGCACACCTCATTAGCACAAATATATAAGTCTTGGTCATTATAGTATTGTATCTCTCATCAGTTGATCTACTTCATTTATTCCTGACTGACTACTTTTTTATTATTCACATCTAAAAATATTGTAAAATCGGGTACCAATAAACACTACATAACTTAAAATTAGAAACAACTGTCGTTTATTCTTCAAACTTACTTCACTCACAAATTATTTACCTTTTACAAATATTTTCGTACTTTATACTTATTAGCTATTTATACATACAAATTTATCATACCTAAATAAAGATAATTTGGCAAAAAATTCTTTTTCAACAATATCATTTAACCTAGAGGTTAGAGAATAATAGGAGGATGAGACATAACTGTCCACTTGACAGATAAGATGAAATGAAAAACTTAAAAAATATATAATACTAATTAAATACTAAGTCAGGTCCTGTTTTGTGTTTATCCGTACTAACTTCTTTGCATGATAATTTGAAAATACTTGATATATCATATATATTGTGTTTTGTATTTTTCTTGTTCAGCCTCAATGTGATGAAGCATTCAAAATGGCCAAAACGAAAGTGACAGATATACTTAAAATGTAAGTGCATAAACTTAATTACCGAAGTCCTCTTGAATTTTATATGCATAGTTGGAATGACAAAAGAAAACCTGGTCCACAGTATGATTTTAATCAATTCTCTTGTCATATCATATCATTTTGTATCACTTGATTTTGTATTTGAGACTCAGGAGAAGGGATAACATCAATGATCTTCAAAAACAAACCGCATAACTACTGCTTTAACAATATTGTTTGGAGCATACATGATTGACTTTTTAAAACTTGATTATGGTGAAAATTCGTTCCTTCTTTATTTACCAAAACTTGATTAGTTCTAATCGTATAGTCGAAAACTTACTGAATATAACGATAGATTTCAGCTGAATATATATTTGTGAGGTTTGGATCTTTTAACTAACTGACTGAGTTATTACCTAAAAGGTAAAAAATATATTAAAAATAAAAGCTTCTACTACAAAAATATCTGTGAATGTCTGTGGAATTTTGTAAACTTTTTGATAATAATTATAATAACTATCTTTGAACAGTCATAATAACACTCATTCATTGTATTTTCATACCATTGAGACACTTTATAGTGCCTTATGGTTTAGCAATCGGATTATCTCTTCTAAGTTCAAAGTTTCGTAAGCAAGATCAAACTAATGATAATTACTTATTCATCTGATCTTTAATAGTGTACTTGGGTAACAAATTCAATCATGGTTTAAAATAAATTTATCATACGTCTAATTAATTATAAATTGTTCTACTTTAATTTTCAGTGTTGAAACTAAAATTGAAAAGCTTCGTGGTTCACCAAAAAAGTAGGATTTCTGCATCCTGTTCACAGTGATCTATTCAGTCTGGTGATATTCACTCAAATGATGTATTTGTCTTCAGTGATTTGTAATGTGTGCATATTCTTATAGAAATTACTCCTCCTCTTTTAGTCTTGTCATACATTTAAATTTTCTCTGAATCATGTAACAATACTATAATTGTGCTTTTGCCATTTATTCCTTAATTAATTAAAGAATCTTCACATTTTAAATTAAGAATTATTTCCTTCTACCTCCTGCCTCTTCGTTTTCGTTTTGCATGTTTCGATGTTACTTGTTTTTATTTTGTTTGTCATTAGTTTGTGAATCAGAATAAATTGGTTGATTCTGTCTTGAAGTTTTATGTATCAACTTTAAGTTTACAGTTATTTGAACGTTTTGTCTACCCTATTAATCTCAGTAGATGTCACAAAAAACTAGCCTTGATTTTGCTTTCCTTTATTACAACAAAATATTTTATACGTATTTGAAAGATTGATCCATCTTCACTTTAGCCCTACAGAAATTAAAAAAATTGTGATGCCTAAATAAACTTACATGGTCATTCAGTTGTCCTGCTCCATATGATACGTATCAATATCGATATCCAATCAACTTGATTTTTGAGGAATCCTATATAATCACAATAGTTTGTTGTCGTTTCCAAATTTATCGTATGTAATCCTGTTATGAGGATCTCATTTGACAAGGCGTCGATTCCCACTTTTGCAAAACGTAGTTACGACGAGTTCATTGTTATTTGAATGACAAAATCTGAAAGACAGTTTCATGAGGATTCAGTTTCGAAGGTACTGTTACTTATAGATATACAACCAGAACCTAGCTTTTAGTTAACGTTCGCATCAAAAAGCAGTGATTTCAATGTTATGACGTGAAAATAAATATATGCTGCTGATTAAGGGATAGCGGATTATTGATCGGACCAAAGACGCACAAACACGTAGAACGACCTAGGGTTCTGATTGGTCTCGCTTCCCTGTCTAACCCAGCCAGTTGAGTCCAGAACGAAAGTCACAGCCTCGGATATATGAATCCTTATATTTCAAACATGCTTTGTTTATATACCATTCAAGCAGTCCACAACGTACCATAAAATAGAAGATAATATTGTACAACAATGGCCAACAGGAAAATAACACGTTAAATAAATATCGACCAATGGGAAATGTACATTTAAGGTCCAAGGACACCATTGGACTTAACATGATAATTATTGGTCTATTTTTCCGACTACCTAACACCTCCCCCTTTTTTTTAAAAAAAAAAAAAGATCCGGAGTTAATATCTGGATTTTTTTCGCGTCTATCCTCCCCCTCGAAATAATGTTGGGTCTTCATAAATCCAAATTACAATTAATTTGATTGTCTTTAAAACATATTGCACATGGAATGCAGTAAAATCGATCAGATATTGAGGATAAACGCCATCCAATTCGAAGTCATCAGGGTTTAAATCTTTAGTAAGTAGTGGATCATTATGATAATCGGCGTCCAACAAAACTGTACCAGGTTCTTGGTTATTATTTGATGCGTGGAGCACATTTTCTGGTAAAAGAGAATCTTGATAATAAGATTTGTCAAAAACATCTGTCGCAGACTGATGAGAACCATTTGAAGCAGTTGTATTCAGTGTGCTGCTCGATTTGTTTTCTGTTTCATGGGTGGTTATTGCGACAATTCTATGAGCATTTACCAGGGAGTGTGTTTGTGAGCTGGATAAGTCACCGTCTGCACATGCTGTTTCGGGGTTGATGTAGTTTGAATCCATTACCGGGCATGTTTCTGAAATGGAAAGTACTGGACCAGTGGGCGCATCATGGATGACTGTTTCGCTTGAAGTACAGTTCATCGAGGATTCATGGAGGCTGCTGTCATTTTCCAGCTCACTGTGTATTTCAGATATCAATCCATCCACTTCCGTCGCATCTTCATAACATGAGTGATTTAGCAGCTGCGTGCGGAACTTGACTAATAACTCCAAATGTCGTTCATAGAGCAGCTGTAATCGATCGGAAGGGAGAGTCATTTTTTTGAATCAGCACCTGTGATGAAAATTACTGTATGACTAATGACCAATGTGGTTCAAGGACACTGATGACAATCTGGATACTGATTGGTTGAATAATTAGACTGGATTTCGTCCAATTACAGAATGACTGGATTGTATCTTTTCTTCACCCCGTCGCCAATTGTTATGACGTGAAAATAAATATATGCTGCTGATTAAGGGATAGCGGATTATTGATCGGACCAAAGACGCACAAACACGTAGAACGACCTAGGGTTCTGATTGGTCTCGCTTCCCTGTCTAACCCAGCCAGTTGAGTCCAGAACGAAAGTCACAGCCTCGGATATATGAATCCTTATATTTCAAACATGCTTTGTTTATATACCATTCAAGCAGTCCACAACGTACCATAAAATAGAAGATAATATTGTACAACAATGGCCAACAGGAAAATAACACGTTAAATAAATATCGACCAATGGGAAATGTACATTTAAGGTCCAAGGACACCATTGGACTTAACATGATAATTATTGGTCTATTTTTCCGACTACCTAACATTCAAGGATTTAACTAGTGAGATTCGCGTTTAAATGATCGGAAAGTTAAACAAAACCTAGTTCAAGTCACCTAGATAACCCGACTACCCTTCATATTCTAAAAATGCTTACAATTAAGTCCTTCGGGATCCTTTTAATTTCGAGATTACTAAACCTCATAAATGTTACGTAAGCAGTCAACGAGCACAATTATGCCTCGTTAGAAAAGCTTAACTAGAAACCGCTTATCCTAACCATGGGAATACATACAGCTTAACATCCTGTTTGCTCCTATCGATCTTCGGTATAGTAGTCGTTGGCAGTGAGGAAGTGCTTCAACGATAAATATCTTACGCAAATCAGTAAAGTTAGTGAGGATTCCTTAAAATAGGTACCACTATCGATTCTCCTTCGCATGGGTGTTTCCAGTACCGACTCCAGCTTTACGTTTTGTAGGAGGATTGAGTCTGTTGGGAATTTAGACTTGTTGGTTCATGTCAAAGAATTCAGGATCTTATAAAAGTTGGTAATAGTCGTGATAGACCACCAGTCTTATTTCTGTGCCCCACTGATGCATCTATACTTTTCACCATTATCACAGACAATAACCGAAAACGCGGTTTTGCAAGAATCTTGAAGGATAGACTTATGGTATTAGCCTCCAGTTCGACTTGAAGGAGACTTCACTTCTGTTTAATTTCACTGTTTATTACGAAGTGAGATGAGCGAAAGAATAACATACTGAAGATACCTGAATGTGGGAATTTTGACACTGCCTATATGCCATATACCTTAGGCTACATAGTCCAGATAGCAGTTGCGGTCCCCTCCCCACAGCGTTTTCAATACACTGTCTAAGTATGTGGATAGTTGATTGTAATCACCAAAGTAATACGCATATTTCGAGCAGGATCTGCGATTCACAGCTTCGAGACAACTAAATCAAAGTCACATTGAATGTCGAAGCAGAACTTACAGTCATCCCTGAGTCGTTACTGCCTCAACCATAAAAAAGTTTAACTAGGCCATCAAACAAAAAGAATGATAAAGCAGTAGGAGCAAATGATGGACAAGCTTGAGCACTGGAATTAGATGAAAACCAAAGAAAAGAAGATGTTCTACATTTGCTTTTAGAAAGGTTTCGGTGTGAGAACTACTGTGTTATCATACTACTTTCAGAGCCAAATAAATTCTTCGACGTAATATTATGGGACAGAGTGAAAAATCCATGAGATATTCAACTTTGAAATCAATAGACTTGATTCTTTCAGTATGAGGAATTATTTGCCAGGGTTGGTAGGAGGAACTTATGAATTCCTTTAGAAACTATATATTAACTAAAAAGGTTTTCACTGTCTTGAAGAACTTTCTAGGGCCTCGAGACGTTCAAGGAAGGCAGCTCGAAAATCCATTTGAAGATATATCGAACAAGACCATTTAATCATTTTTTCTTTCTTAAAGTCGCTGAATGCATTGTAACGATCTCCATATTTCAGAAAATGCACAGAGTACAGCAGATAACGTAGATACAGTTAAGCGATCTTAGCCTCCAGACAAAATTGCATTTATGACCGCACTCAGAAGTAAAAAAAGGCGACAACGGGTGCAGCAGCATGATGGCACACAAATCGAGAATCAACCAAGTCACACCTGATGGTAAATCTCTGAATCAAACGAAAGTCTTTTTGTTGCTAGGCAGCATAATTAACTAGGCGAGCTAGATGGGAGGCACAAAATGGCAAAACAAGATGGTGGTTTTCACAACTAAAAACATCTGGAGCTCTAAATAATTGTTATCGAAAATTGAAAATTTGTCACCAAAGTCAAACTGTTCTACTGTAATATGACAAAACTTGAAGAACTAAAGTAACAATTATTGGTAAACTACCCGTATTTCTAAACAGATATCCATAACGAAAACTTCAGATCAATTGTCTGTAGTTTATCACTACCAACATAAGACATCTATTCGGATGAAATTAGAATACAGTCGATGTGAGTGAAACGTACATTAAGGAAAGCCTTATTCTGTATCACAAGCCAAGTCCTAACTTGAGGTCCTCAACGTTAAAAGAGAAGGGGAAAACCGAAAGCACATTGCACTTAAAATCAGAATGAGACATCAAAAAAATGAGTGTAGCTTGGAAACAAATGGAGGAAAGAGCTTTCGACAGAATGTGCTAGAAATTCGAAGTCGGCGGCCAATGCCAAAAACTACGTTAACAGTTAATCAATTTGCCATTAGAATAACTATTTCCTTTACGATATCGAAATGACTTCTCTGCTTCTTAGAACTTTGTTTCTGGTTTATGCAGAGAACTTTTCTCTTAGTCAAGTACCTATTTTGAGTGGTAAAATGAACTGATGAATAACGTTTCGACTTAATATATGTGTAGGGAGATGTAAATTTTAGAAATACATACTTCTGTAAGTCCCCGACATTGATTCTTACCTCATTAATTTTACTCGACACACCCTAGCTAAATGCGCTCTGTCACTCATCCGGACTAGATCGTCAGTAGTTACGCCACGCTTCTCATCCGCTGCATCCACTAAGCAAATTACATCAAACACCTCTCGAAGTATCGAGAGCTTCACAAATATATCCTCGAACTCCCTCATTTTTGACTTCTGATTTGACTAGGTTGGTATCTATCGATCCTGAAGATGTGACACAATGGCCCAGTTTATCGATGTTTCAGGAAACGCTTTTCCACTGCTGATCGGATTAATTATTTCTAGGGGTTTTCTGGGTCTCCCGATACTTGATTGACGAATATTTTTAGCCTATTAGAAAGCCCTCGATGGTAAGTAACATCTTAGAATTACTAAGTTTAGTCACCTCAATCACAGTTCCGCGTTATCTTGTTACTGGTCGAGTATGTCATGAAACCTCACAATAAGTTTCAGAACATTCTCATGGGTGGTTTGTTGTTCTAAGACTCAATAGTAGTCACGTGAGTAATAAAATTTTTTGAGCCTATGTTCAAATATTCAT